TAGCCTTCTCAAGGTTCCCTCATTGCGAGAAGTGAGGTTACAGTGAACCAGACAGAGGGCCTTCTCTGTATTGGCGCCCACCCTGTGGAACACCCTCCCTTTAGATGTGAAGGAAATAAGCAGTTATCCTACCTTTAAAATACATCTGAAGGCAGCCCTGTTCAGGGAAGTTTTTAATATTTAATGCTGTATTGTTTTTAACATTCGATTGGGAGCCGCTCAGAGTGGCTGGAGAAACTCAGCCAGATGGGCAGGGTATATATAATATATTATTATTATTATTATTATTATTATTATTATTATTATTGAAAGGAGGCCAACCAAGGAAATTCCTGTGCACCAAAAGGCTGGAGCAGGTCAGATCATAGATAAACCTTCAGAGAAGGCTGCTCTGTTAGGGCTACTGGGGCCAACCTCAGTATGCCCTCAGCCATTCTTTCTTCCCACCTGCTTACCTGCCTTATTTACAACCAGATTAAGGGATGGCCCTGGCTGTCAGCCTCCTCCTACTTAGTCTCCGTGTTGCCCTTGTAGAACCTGGCAGGGATGAGGATGGGGACAAAGCTAGACTGAACAGACACTGCCTGTCATTGGCTCTGGCTCCCCCTGCTGTTGGTCTCCCTGCCTTTCACCCTACCAGCCACAATGGGCATCAGCCACAGCTGCAAGGCTCCATTGAGTCCAGCATCCTCTTTCTAACAGTGGCCAGGCAAATGTCTTGGAAAGCCTGCAGCTCATCCCTTAGGCTGCAATCCAATGCCCACTTTCCTGCAACTTACTTCTGGGAAGAAGCATCTAGGATTGCACTGTTCGCATCTTGCCTTGACCCAGACTTACCAAGTGGCAGTGAAAGGTGATTAGGAGACCAATTAATTAATTAATTCCGTTATTTGTTTTCCCTTCAAACTCATGATTCTATGATTCTGTGTGGCAAGCTGCATCATTGCAGCCTCTCAGTAGAAGGCTAGATATCTATCGTACAGCACAGTACTGCTGAGTGCTGCCCCCATGTGGTGAGTCATATCATGACAGCATCTCAGTGCAGAACCTTCCGGACTGGTTTTCTCCAAGCTGGCTGCTGGCTCTTTCTGGTCAGGCTTCCTGTCTCACTGAATGTTGCTTGAGCAACAAGGTCTTCCTGAGCTCTAGTGTGTCTTGCATTTTTGGTCTTGCTCTTCGTTCCAGAGTCCTTTTGGTCCTGACTCCCAGTTCCAGTCACCGTTCTGACTCCACATCATTCATTGCTCTGTGTTCAGCCCTGAGTCCCTGACACACTATTGTTGAAAGTGAACACCAGTTTAATTCCTGATAAGGAAGACACCTGGAGGAAGAACCCATCTCCGTGGTCAGGAGCACCTTTTAGCAGTTTTGGCTGGTATGACAGCTGTGGCCATTCCTGCATCAGGAAAGCTTTACCACAGTAGTCCATGTACTGGTAATGGCAAGACAGTGATGCACACTGTGTGGTTGTTATGTATTCAGTGGTCTGTTTGCCTGAGCTTGAGTCTGGACTAAGGATTCTGAGCCCCTGTGTTTTGATTCAATACATGATATCCAGTCACAGAACATTTCAGTATTTGGGCCTCTGCCATTGGCCCTTAAACTCTGAGTCATGATTCGCAGCTTGGAAGTTTAGACAGCCAATCACGTTTGGAGTGGGAGTGGCCCAGGACTTCAAAAATGTATATAAGCAGTTGTTTTGCTGATGTTGTCCAGTTCTGTTAGTTCAATAAAGGTTCTTGTTGTCATCACTGTGTCTTGCCCCGTGGGAACCCACTTATACTTCAGTGGTGCTTTCCCTTGGGCTTGGTCCAGAAATTGCAGCATTCTGCACTAATAGGAGTGAGACCCTGTCAAGGTATTACAGCCCTGCTTGGAGATCTTCTCTGGCTGCCGATTTGTCATCCAGGCCAAATTAAAGATGCCACTATTAGTATGTAAATCCCTTTTATCTTAGCTCATTTGTGCCCACCCAGCCACTCGGTGTGTGGAAACTGGCACTTCAACCAGTGTCACATAAGGTTCATTCTGCACTTGCAAGGAATCAGTCCTTCAGCATGGAAGCACCTGCTCTTTGGAACTCCCTCCCTGTTGATATTAGGCAGATACTTTCATTGTATTGTTTTTTTTATCTCTGCTAAGAAGTTTTGGTTTGTTTAGGCAAGCCTACCCAGAATCCGCACTACGGGAGGTTGAACTCCCGTTGCTCTTTCTCAGCTTCTGCCAACCTAGCAGTTCGAAAGCATACCAGTGCAAGTAGATAAATAGGTACCATTGAGGTGGGAAGGTAAACGGTGTTTCCCTGCACTCTGGTTTCCATCACAGTGTCCCATTGCACCAGAAGCAGTTTAGTCATGCTGGCCACATGACCTGGAAAGCTGTCTGTGGACAAACACCGGCTCCCTCAGCCTGAAAAGTGAGATGAGCGCCGAAACCCCAGAGTCACCTTTGATTGGACTTAATCATCCAGGGGTCCTTTACCTTTACCTTTTACCCAGATACATAATTGTATCGGGTATATTTGTTTCTATAACTGCTGGTTTTAATTGATATTCCAATAAATTTTATGTCTACTTATTTTTAAAGTTTGGGTTTGTATGTAAACAGCTTAGAAAGGTTCATCAATTCAGCAGTATATAAAATTAATTGATTGATTAATTAATTAATTACTTAAGTAATTAGGACATCGAGGCTTATATGAGTGGAGGTACTCTGTGAGTAACCTCGGCCCACCTCAGTAGACATCCCTGCTCAATGACATCTGCAAAGCACTTTTGAGGAAAACAGCAACGAGAAGCTTATGTTCTTGAGTCTGAGTTATGAAGGAGAGGTTTTTTTCCCCATCCCTGCCAAAGACAATAATTCCCCCCCCCTTCTTTCAAAATAAACATCGCCCTGGAATGTGCTGCAGCAAATGGCTGAGGTTGTATTATATTTCATGCAGCTTTCTAAACAATTTTCAACCCTTGCTGGCTCTCTGTCAAACAGAAGGCGACCAACAATAGCACAAGCCCATTAAAGCTGAGAAGGTTCCTTCCTGAGGTGAACATGGCCAGAAATAGTCATCTTGGCTCGCTTTTCCATTTGGCACTGGGGACTAATAATGCGTGTCCCACTAATGGAAATTATCTAATTTCATCCGAGCGCAGCTCCAGAGAGATCTGGGCTGACGCACAAACAATCAATACAGCCACATTCTTCTTGAGGAGTGGAACAATGGGAGGCTGGTGGAACCGTGTGGAACAACGTCACCCCAAAGAACAAACAGAAGGTGTAAAAATAGGCATCTAAAGCAGCCGGGTTGTTCTTCATTCACAGGGAAGAACAGTTTGTTGACTTCTCCGCTTGGCACATTTGGTTAGATGTGCAAGGGAAGGCCGCCGAGAACCAAGAGAATAAATAAAAGCCACTACTTTTCCATCTGGGTCTGAATGTCCTAAGAAACCCAGAGCGTACATTACACATGCCTTCCGAACACCAACCATGCAATTCCCACTAGCAACACAAAGTCATTTTACTGAGCTGCTCATATACTAAGACTGGAAAAAGCTAGCTTTTTGTATGGTTTTAAAGAGTGGCTTTGTAAAAATCCAAGTGTTTTAAACACATTGAAAACCAAGTAGTCCTCCCTCCTACGCCAATCACGTCCACACATTTCAAGCCTAGTTTCAGAAGATTCTTTATTATTTGTTGTGTGTTTTTTTCAAAGTTCAGCAATATTTTCTCAAAAGCTCTGTAAAGTTACATAGACCTCTGAAAATTATCTTCAAATGTCTACTTGATCAAAGAAGGGCTTGATGACACCCGGTGCTTTTTTTTCAAGGGGTCCTCAAGGGTATGCAGTCCTGTCACCTCTCCTTTTTTTGGTTAAAAAGTATGACAATTATTGTAACATCTTTATGGTGAGTGCTGGTACCTATTTATCTGGAAAAAAAGCAGTGGTGTCGCCTAAAAGTTCCTAGCCCACTGAACATGAGAAATAAAGATGGTCTCCTTCCTAAGGGTAAGGTAAAGGTAAAGGGACCCCTGACCATTAGGTCCAGTCGTGGCCGACTCTGGGGTTGCAGTGCTCATCTCGCTTTATTGGCCGAGGGAGCCGGCGTGCAGCTTCCGGGTCATGTGGCCAGCATGACTTCTGGCGAACCAGAACAGTGCATGGAAACGCCATTTACCTTCCCGCCGGAGTGGTGCCTATTTATCTACTTGCACTTTGACGTGCTTTCGAACTGCTAGGTTGGCAGGAGCAGGGACCCAGCAACGGGAGCTCACCCCGTTGCGGGGATTCAAACCGCCGACCTTCTGATCGGCAAGTGCTAGGCTCTGTGGTTTAACCCACAGCACTTATCTCCCATCATACCTGAGTATTGGCTATGCTGACTGAGAAGGATGGGAGTTTTGGTCAAACAAGGCCACAGGCTCTCCACCTCTGCCATAGAAGAAGGGCCACAGAAGAAGGGAAATGAGGGGAGGCCTGGGACATGAAGCAGCAGCCACTGGGAAAGGAGTTAGATGTAGACGAGAGATTACTGCAACCAAAGGAAAAAAGAAGAGAAGCAAGCAATGAAAGTAGGAAAATATACCGGTACCTCTTTTGCAAGTATGAGAATAAGATCGCATCATGAAATGACAGCCAATCAGCTAGTTATTTATTGCATGCATATCCTTCCCCTCTTCCATTATGGAGATTAAGGCAGCATACATGGGATTCCCAAGCAGTCTCCCATCCAGACACTGACCAGATCCAGACCTGCTTAGTTTCAGCAGAACAGCTGCATGACATGCCCCAAGACCACATCCTTAAGACTTAGAGTGAGGATAAACCTGCATGACTACAGGAATGTCAGTAATGGAGGTGAGGGGTTAACTGTAGTCAAATGAGGTCTTCAGAAAGAGTCTGGAGCAAATGATCAGGGCTGAATCAAAAGACGCTGGAGAGGAAGAAGCAGGGATAATAGTCATAGAAACACAGAATGGTAAGGGACCATGAAGGTGATGTAGTCCAACTCCCCCCACAATGAAGGAATCTTTCACCCATGACCCTGAGATTAAGAGTCTCATACTCTACCAACTGAGCTATCCTGCCTGGTGAACCGTCTAGGGCAGGCTTCCTCAACCTCGGCCCTCCAGATGTTTTGAGACTACAGTTCCCATCATCCCTGACCACTGGTCCTGCTAGCTAGGGATCATGGGAGTTGTAGGCCAAAAACATCTGGCAGGCCGAGGGTGAGGAAGCCTGCTCCAGGGCTTAATCACAGATGGCGTGCAGCTTGTCCTTCTATTCTTTTTGCACCGCACTCTTTGAATCATGAATATTTCCACAGGCAAGGTACCAGACCAATGGACTGTGCAGCCATTCCCCAAGCCCCGCTTCCAAGGCGTGGGATCCCAGGAATTTGCTGCAGCGGCATTTTGTGTGCTGCCTGTTGAAGCGCAGAGGTTGAGAGAGCACCAGGCCAGCGGTCTGCAGTTTTACAAGCTGGAGACCAACACACCACACCGTGGCAGCTCCAATCAACGTGAGCGCTAAGGGGGAGTCTCTCCGTCCTCCTTCCTAGTTGCCTTTGAGCAGGGGGCGGGGAGCTCAAGTGTTTCAAAGCCCACAGGAGCTTGAGGAGAGGAAACGGCACAAGAGCCGAGGCGGTAAACAGTTGCTCGAGGACTTGATCTACCCTTCAGTAGATTCAAGCTCAAAGGCAACCCTAAGGGGCTTGTATATGAGCTACACAATCATACATGTTTATTAATTTAAGCTGTAAGAGTCCCAGTGGAGGCAGGAAGCCTGGCTGTGTTTTGACTGTGATGAGGCAAAAGGGGAGGCAATAGGACATTTTAAAGGGCCGTCGTTATTTTGGGCTTGGATGAGTTTCTTCTATGTACTGGGGGTGGTGGGGGGTGGTGGAAGAGGCTGCCAGGGCAATGGCCCTGGGCACATCTTTTAAGGGGACATTATGCATTTGGCTCCTCATGCCACCCTGGCAGCCTGCACCACTTTGCAAGGCTGGGATCTGATCTGAATGATTTGCCAGGTGAATCTGCCTTGTGCCAGCTATCTCATTTAATATTTCCACTCTGCATCCACCGGCAGTGGATTTCCAGGGTTGCAGACAGCAGTCCTTCCCAGACCTACCTGCAGATACCAGAGCTTTAACTTGGGTTCTTTTCCAGGCAAGACATGTGTCGTACTACTGAGCTTCTCTAACGCTGCAATCCTATGCACATCAACCTGGCATGAAGCTCCATATGAGACTCACTTCTGACTAGATATGTGTAGGGTTGCACTACAAGTTAGCTTATCTTATGATGCAGAGCTGCATGATTTTTAATCTGTGTTACACTCTTGGACAATGGAGGCTCCATGATCACTGCAGATGGTGACAGCAGTCATGAAATTAAAAGACACCTGCTTCTTGGGAGAAAAGCAATGACAAACCTAGATAGCACCTTAAAAAGTAGAGACATCATCTTGCCAACAAAGGCCTGTATAGTTAAAGCTATGGTTTTCCCAGTAGTGATGTATGGAGGTGAGAGCTGGACCATAAAGAAGGCTGATCGCCGAAGAATTGATGCTTTTGAATTATGGTGCTGGAGGAGACTCTTGAGAGTCCCATGGACTGCAAGAAGATCAAACCTATCCATTCTTAAGGAAATTAGTCCTGAGTGCTCACTGGAAGGACAGATCGTGAAGCTGAGGCTCCAATACTTTGGCCACCTCATGAGAAGAGAAGACTCCCTGGAAAAGACCCTGATGCTGGGAAAGATGGAGGGCACAAGGAGAAGGGGACGACAGAGGACGAGATGGTTGGACAGTGTTCTCAAAGCTACCAGCATGAGCTTGACCAAACTGCGGGAGGCAGTGGAAGACAGGAGTGCCTGGCATGCTCTGGTCCATGGGGTCACGAAGAGTCGGACATGACTAAATGACTAAACAACAACAACAACAACAACAACAACAACACTCTTGGACTGTCTGTTTTCAGAGGCAGGTGAGCTCTGCTGTGCAGAAACTGCAAATGATGACCTGGCTTCTTCTATTTTTATTTTTTGATTTTTTGTAATGGGTTCTCAAACAGCACAGTGCAGCCACCACCTGGCTCCATCTATTGTTCTTTTCCTTGAACATATGCCATCATTCACTGGCAACCTGACAGCATCTCAGGTCCTTCTGAAGTCTAATAAACCTGAATTATAGTAAAGCAAATCTGACCTTTTGACCTTTTGTGCATTGCTTAGCCATTAAGGAAATGTCCATTCTTGTTTCTGTTGCAGAGGAAAACCGTCTGCATCCAAACTAACAATGAGAGGCTCTTACATTATTCCTCCCCTCCGCCGGCACAACGAGATGGAACAGAGCAGTATAAGAATTGCACCCTGTAATATTGCCAGTTGACCAGCAGGCGGCGCCAGAACATTCATTTTCCAGCGTGACCTTTCTCTTTGGGGACAGGTGTGCATATTAACCGGGAAATTGCAATTCTTTCCCTCAAAGAATTCTGGGCAGTGGGCACTGTAGTTTACCTCTCACAGAGTTACGATTTAAAAAAATGATTATATTTCAAAAATATTAAGGAGGTACAAGTCCATAAGACGATGTAGTAATAGATCTCTAAGCTTGTAGAGTTGTTTTAGTTCCCAGCAACCCTTAATAAATAAACTACAGCGCCTAGATTTCTTTGAGGTGGAAAATGTGCTTCAAATGTGCTTTAAAGGAACAGTTTGCCTGCAGCTCTTACCACTAACAATTGTCTTCCTGTCCAGTTAAACTAGATAGAGCTCTCTGTTAAAGTCAAGGAGCTGGGACAATTTCACCACAAGGAAAAACTCAAATGGCTGAATAATAATAATAATAATAATAATAATAATAATAATAATTTTTTTTTTATAACCCACCCATCTGGCTGGGCTTCCCCAGCCACTCTGGGCAGCTTCCAACAAAATATTAAAATACAGTAATGCATCAAATATTAAAAGCTTCCCTAAACAGGGCTGCCTTCAGATGTCTTCTAAAAGTCTGGTAGTTGTTCCCTTTGATATCTGGTGGGATGGCGTAGGGCGTTCCACAGGGCAAGTGCCACTACTATAATATAATTATTACAACAACAACAACAACAACAACAACAACAACAACAACAACAATAATGTTTTTTTTCCAGCCAGAACTCTCTAGTGGGCACCATTGCTGTTCTGGCATTTCTTTTTCTAGAAAAATAGCACTGATGGATACTCACGTACGACCAAGGTTCAAGTCCCCGCTCAGCTGTGAAGCTCACTGAGTGACCTTGGACCAGTCACTGCCTCTCAGGTTAACCTACCTCACAGGGTTGTTGTTGTGGAGGTTAACTGAGGAGGAGTGGGGAGAATCATGTAAGCCACCTTGAGCTCCTTGGAGCTATCAATCTGACAAATCATAATGTGAACAGAGACAGGGTTCCCTGACTTCCTGCTTCTATAATACTAGAATTCAGGATTACCCAAACGAATCAATCCAATGGAATTTGATTTGCAGAGAGCAGCGCTACAGCCAGTGGGAAGCCAGTTTCAGCCCAGGGCTGGGTTTGAGGGCAGCGACTGTCCAATAGGGCAGGCTTCTTTCTCATCTTGAAGTAGGTGAAGTACTTCAAGTCTGTTGTGCCCAGCGGAAGGATGAGGAAAATGTGCTCCATACTCTATATTGCTTTATTTACAGTTCAAAGCTGGTATATTACAGAAAGACATCTTGCGTCTGCAGGAGCAGAGAAATGCATCCTCTCTCCTCGCTCACCTCGGAGAGAATCACACAGACAGTGAATAACAGGAAACCAGTGTACGTCACATCCAGTCTCCCTTTCCCGTGAGAAACTCCAACAGTACAGACTGTGGAATGTAAACACCTGTCTTGTGACTGCAGTTGCTGCACAGTGAAGGAAAGCAGAAACCAACATCCTCCCCCTTCTGTGAACATCACTGGGCAGCGTGTTCGTACAATATCAGTACAAACCCAACTTCTGCACATAGGTACAGTGTTGATCCCTTGATACAATCTTGGACAATACATCAGCAGGAATTTCATTACCTGGCATATAGGACACCGTTACGAGTCCCTTCTGAATACATTCCCTAGCATGCTGCAACTTTAATTGCAAGTGCTTTGTGCTTTGCTTACAACCTTCAGACTTTAGCAAAGCCAAACATGCTTTGTTGTCCTGGTAAACCTGGATTGGACATTTGACAGGAATTTTCATATCTTTGCACAATTGTACTAACCATTCACAATCCTTAAGTGAATAAGACAGTGCATTCAGTTCGGCTTCACAAGTACTTAAGCTAACTGTTGTTTGCTTCTTGCATGACCAATCAAACAGACCCTGATTGTACATGTAGCAAACTCCAGACGTACTTTTCCTGTCTGTAGCGTCACTTCCAAAACTTGCATCTGCAAATATCTCAAGACCACTAGACTTCTGATTGTTAAATCTCAGTCTGTAATGCATAGTGCCTTTCAAATACCGCGCTATGCGTTTCAGAGCTTTCCAATCCTTGACACTAGGATTGTTGACTTGTCTGCTTAGCAAATTACAGCTAACAGCAATGTCTGGTCTTGAACATCTGGCAATGAAGTTTAGCTTGCCTAGCACACTCCTGTACAGTGTAGTGTCAGAAAATGCTTCTTCAGTGTCATCTACCTGATAACCTGTTGTCATCGGTGTGTCTACAGGGTTAGCATCCATCAGATTTAGTTTGCTTAACACATCAGCAATTTTCCGTGACTGGTGTACTAGAATGTTACCATCTTGACCTCTCTCTATTTCCAGAGATAGGTAGTTGTTTACCTCACCAAGATCTTTCATGTCAAAGTGCTCTTTCAGTTGAGCTAGGGCGCTATTGTACATTGCAACATCTTTCCAAAAGAATAATAAATCATCAACATAAAACAAACAGTACAGTTTCTTTTGCCCCTCCTCTTTGACAAATACACATGGATCAGCTTTCCCTTGCTGAAAACCTAGAGAATACAAGTGTTCAGTGAGTTGTGTGTGCCAACACCGTGCACTTTGTTTGAGACCATAAAGGGATTTCTTCAGAGCACAAACAAATCCCTGTTTTACC